AGTCCATGTGCCAGCCCAGCAGCAGTCACACACGCATACCTCGCTGGACTCTCTGCTGCAGCAGCTGGAGGCGACACAGGAGTATGAGATGATGCTGCTGGCTCAGGCAATGGAATCACAGAGGATTGAGGAAGAGCAGTGCTCTGCTCTTCAGCCTCTGGTTTTGCCTGGGCTGCCCCAATTTCAGCCGGTTATACAGCCCTCTTCTGCATCACCCCTTGCACCTCCTCATGAGCAGTTCATACATTCAGCCACATCACGAATTGTTTCTTCAGAGCAACATAGCCCTACCAGCTCGCATTTTCCGTCCTTGAGAAACGTGGAGGCACATAGCGTGAGTGTTACAGATGCTGAGCTTGATTTTCTGGATGACATAATGAATACATGGAACTGAAAAGTGTGATGGTTACCGTATTTTTGTACCCACCCTAAATGTGAAATTTCATGGAAGTTAATAATAAACATAAACAAATGTGCAGCAAAGATAAACGTCGTGCGGCATGTACTACCAGGTCATTTTTAGCTAATTTTTCCCAAACAACGCCCTGGCACTGCTGCAAAGATACTGCTTTGAGTTTGTAGTATCAAATTACACTTTGTTTTTAAATCGGGCTGCGCCAATGGGGTTGTCTCTTCGCTGGAACGTTCGCATCTACGTCATCACCAAACCAGAATCCACCGCCACCGTCATCTTTTGATGCTCATCCGATCCGATGAGGATAAGAAGGTGACGGTCGTCACGTTTTGAAGTCTGCGGCGGAAACATTGAACATTCGCTGTATCCGGTCAGGTCCCCTGATGACATATGACGGTCCCCTGTTTGCGAAGCCATCGAGCCGTAACGACCTCAACTTTGCTGTAACGTGTATGGTGCTTGATTTCTTTGCGAATTTTGTTGTACAGTTACACTATCGATCTCGGCATTCCTCCCGATCTTGATTCCATTCCATGTGAGAGAATTGCCCGAGATTTCCTCCATTCGCCTTCTTCGCCCTCCATTTCCAAGTCAGGGTTGAATCTTGGGATTTCCTAACTAGAGAATATTGTCAGAACATTGTGTTGTGTAGGCTGTAGTGGGGTAGCCAATAGGGAGTACAACCCAATTAGGGTTAGTACTTGTACCAACTTTCTCATCAATGCATTCATTCCTGCTGCTAGATTCTGACATGGTATCAGAGCAGCGCATGGTGCAGCAGGTCCTTCAGCGCTTCGGCTTCCATTTCTCCTCACCACAGTCCACTTCTCTGCCTACCGGTCACTCGCTCTCAGCTCCACCTTCGGACGAGTCCGTAGAGCCGAGTAGCCCGTATCCAGAGCTTGTGGGCTGCCTCATGTATCTGATGACCTGCACTCGACCTGACCTTGCGTACCCTCTTAGCATCCTGGCTCGCTACGTTGCACCTGGGAGACACAGGCGAGAGCACTGGGGGCCTGCTAAGAGGGTGCTGCGCTACTTGTGCAGTACATCACGCATCGGGTTGGTGCTTGGAGGACAGGGTCGAGTTGTCCTCACTGGACACTCAGACGCTTCTTGGGTTGACGACCTGGCTACGCAGCGGTCGTCTCAGGGTTACACCTTCAGCCTTGGTTCCGGCTCTGTTTCTTGGCGGTCTACCCGCTCTTCTTCTGTTCTCAGCTCCAGTTGTGAGGCTGAGATCTACGCAGGAGCCATGGCTGCACAGGAATTACGCTGGCTCACCTACCTGCTGACTGACTTGGGAGAGCGGCCTAGTTCTCCTCCAGTTCTGTACGTAGACAACAAGGCTGACTAGCCTGCAGACTAGCCAAATATCACATTCTGACACACCCCCATAGCCAAAGTGGGGTATAATCAGCACAGCAAGCAGTCACAGCCGCTCTTTCTTGCTCCCGGTCCCCCTCCGATAGACCCCCTCCCCCCTCAAGGTCCTGCTCCTTCAGGTGTCTCTCAGGTAGACCCACTTCCCTTGGCTGAGCATTAGAGGTCACTGGTGACTCTGGTGCTGCTGGGGGTGGTGCTGCGTCTGGGGGTGCGGAGCCAGAGCGCGCGGAGCCTGTGGGTGCTGGGCCTGCGGGTGCGGAGCCTGGGGTTATGGAGCCTGGGGGTGCTGAGCCTGGGGGTGCGGAGCCTGGGGGTGTTGAGCCTAGGAGTGCTGCGTCTGGGGGTGCGGAGCCTTTTGCTGGTGCTGAGTCTAGGGGTCCTGTGCCTGGTGGTACTGCGTATGCTGGAGGTTCTCGGAGTGTCTCGCCGCAGCGGTCTGGCCAGCGAAAGCCTCTCTCACCTCAGCAGCTGCGCGAGTGGTTTGCTCGGCGCACCCGCCTTCAGAGTCGCGCCGCTGGAGCTGGAGGCACTGGAGCTGGAGGCACTGGAGCTGGAGGCGCTGGAGCTGGAGGTGCTGGCGCTGGAGGCACTGGCCCTGGAGACGCTGGAGCTGGAGGCACTGGCAGTGGAGGCGCTGGTGGCGCTGGCATTGTAGACACTCGAGCTGGAGGTGCTGGAGCTGGTGACGCTGGAGTTGGAGGCGCTAGAGCTGGAGGCACTGGAGCTGGAGGTACTGGAGCTGCTGGGGCCCCTGTGCAGCAGTGACCGTTTTTCTTGCCGCCGCCGCAGCTGTCCGAGCTCCCGCCCGACTCGATCCTCCGTCAGGTTCTTAGTCTCGTCCACTGCCCTTCCTCAGGACTCACCGATGCCTGCCCCACCTCGTTACACTGAGCAGCCAGCCTCCCTTACAGAGCGTCGTGAGCCTGCGTCTCGTCCTGCCTCCCCTGTTCGCACTACTCGCCGTCCTCGACGTGTCCCGCGTCCGCGTCCTCCTCCTATGCCAGGTACTCACACTATGGCACTTCGTCCTTCCTCTATTCCACAGCGTGTTCCTCTGCCGTCTCCTCCTGCGTCCTCTCTTCTTGACGTTCCGGACCCTGAGTCTGACTTGGTTCGTGCTGCCAGCCCCACTGTCACGCGTCTCCTCACTACTGTCGTTACCGACCCGTCGTTTGAGTCTACTGTTGCGTCTGCCTTAGTTGCTGAGCTTGTGGACTTTGCTGCTGCGTGTCGTCTAGACTACGCCGCCAGTCTTGTTGCTGAGTCTGAGTCTGTTTGTCCTCCGTCCGTTGGGGGTGAGTGTGCTCTTGGCACGGACGTCCTTGAGGACAGGCAGGAGGACTTTGAGTGTCTTGCGGCTGCTGTACCTCATCTCGTGGCCTGGCTGCTTGCACCTGAGGGAGACCCGGATGCACTAGACATCCCGACCCCGCGCTCTTACGCAGAGGTGATTGAGGGTCCCTACTCCTCTCAGTGGTAGACAGCCATGGACGCAGAGATGGCATCCTGGAAGTCCACAGGCACCTACGTCGACGAGGTTCCCCCTCTTGGGGCGAACATAGTCGATGGCATGTGGATCTTCAGGGTGAAGCGACCGTCGAGTTCTCCGCCTGTCTTCAAGGCTCGTTACGTTGCTCGAGGCTTCAATCAGCGAGAGGGAGTTGACTTCTTCCAGACCTTCTTCCCCACCCCGAAGATGACCACTCTTTGGGTGCTGCTGCACGTTGCCGCTCAGCGTGACTACGAGCTTCACTCTCTTGACTTCACTGCCGCCATTCTACATCCTCGTGTACGTCGACGATTTGGTCTTTGCCACTGCTGACACTGAGGCACTGGCCCTTGTGAAGTCGGAGCTGCAGAAGAGACACACTTGCACAGACCTGGGTGAGCTGCGCAGCTATCTTGGCTTGCAGATCACCCAGGACAGAGCACGCCGCACCATCACCCTGACTCAGTCACACATGGTGCAGCAGGTCCTTCAGCGCTTCGGCTTCCGGTTCTCCTCACCACAATCCACTCCTCTACCTACCGGTGACTCGCTCTCAGCTCCACCTTCGGACGAGTCCGTAGAGCTGAGTGGCCCGTATCCAGAGCTTGTGAGCTGCCTCATGTACCTGATGACCTGCACGCGACCTGACCTTGCGTACCCTCTTAGCATCTTGGCTCGCTACGTTGCGCCTGGGAGACACCGACGAGAGCACTGGGAGGCTGCTAAGAGGGTGCTGCGCTACTTGTGCAGTACATCGGGCATGGGGCTCGTGCTTGGAGGACGAGGTGACGTTGTCCTCACTGGACACTCAGACGCCTCTTGGGTTGACGACCTGGCTATACAACGGTCGTCACAGGGTTACACCTTCAGCCTTGGTTCCGGCTCTGTTTCGTGGCGGTCTACCCGCTCGTCTTCTGTTCTCAGCTCTAGTTGTGAGGCTGAGATCTGTGCCACGGCCATGGCTGCACTGGAGTTACGCTGGCTCACCTACCTGCTGACTGACTTGGGAGAGCGGCCTAGTTCTCCTCCAGTTCTGTACGTCGACAACAAGGCCGCTATTGCCTTATGACACGAGCACAGACTGGAGCACAGAACAAAGCACATTGCTCTGCGTTACTTCCTTGCTCGAGAGCTGCAGCAGCGTGGCCAGCTTCGTCTTTCTTACATGGCCACTCGAGCCAACACAACTGATATATTCACCAAGGCATTTTCGCTTGGTGATCATCAGCGTCTCTGTACTGCTCTAGGCCTCGTGCCTACGTTTCCTCACTTGCTCACTGCTTGACCTTGCTTGTACTGTGATCTATATATATATCCCTGCATGCTCACATTTGCTAGGTTGTGATCACTGTACTGCTTGCTTTGTTTTATATAACTCTGCATGTGAACTGGCCTTGTGGCCATTTGCTTGTGCTCGGAATGTGTGGTGACTTCGTGATCCACCCTGAGCTTGGTTCGCTTTTTTTGACTGGTCTTGTGACCACTGGTTCTCCCCCACTTTGCCTATGGGTGTGTGTCAAACTATAATGGTGCTTGTTGTGTGTAGGCTATAGTGGGGTAGCCCATAAGCCGTACAACCCAGATTAGGGTTAGTACTTGTACTCACATTTCTCTTCAATGCAACATTCGTTCCTGTTAGTTCTCAACATGGTTTCAGAGCAATAGGTCTGCAAGACCATTCCTTTATTTTGGGCCCACCGTAGTGACCGTATGAGGTTACCGCGCTACCCTACGCACTGCCCTGTCCTGCGCTGCCCTCGCGCGCCGCCTGACTGCAGCCCCGCGCGCCGCCTTTCCCGCCCGCGCGCTGCCCTTGCAGCCCCGCGTGTTGCCCCTGCAGCCCCGCGCGCTGCCACTGCAGCCCTCGCACTGCCTCTGCAGCCCTGCGCGCCGCCTCTGCAGCCCGCGCGCTGCCTCTGCCGCCCCGCGCGCTGTCCCTGCCGCCCGCGCGCTGCCTCTGCCACCCCGCGCGCTGCCCCTGCAGCCCTCGCGCTGCCTCTGCAGCCCCGCGCGCTGCCGCTGCCCTGCCCGCGTGCCCGGCCCTGCCTTGCCCGTGCGCCCGGCCCTGCCCTCCATGCGCGCCCTGGCCCTGCCCTGCCTTACGCGCCACCCTGCACTACTACGGTATGGCCTCTCTCAGCGTCCTCGAGTTCGATCCTGAGGGCCGTTCGATTAAGTATGAGTCTTGGCTTCATGACCTACAGTTGTACCTGCTGAGCGATTCGAGAGGCGATGTCTCACTGTTTGACCTCACCTCTGGGGCCTGTCCTGCCCCTCCCGACACTGCTGACAGTACAAATCGCTCCAAGTGGCTTACTCGTGACGCTGCCGCTCGCCTAGCCGTTCGCAACCACCTGCCGATAGCCGAACGCGCTCATTTTGACCAGCCCAAAACTGCCAAAGCCCTGTAGTCGCTCGCTACTCTTCCCCTGCCACTGCAGCTCTCGGCCGCCTTATACTGCCCTACCTGTTTCCCGAGCTGTCCTCCTTTGCCATCGTAGCGGACCTCATTACCCACCTTCGCACTAGTGACACGCGCTACCACACTGCCCTCCCAACCGAGTTCGTTCCCAAGAACGAGCCCCCGATTTATATCACTCTCTACTTTATAGTCACCCGCCTCCCTGACTCTCTTCGCGCAGTCAGGGACCACTTTCTCGCCCTTAACCCCACCAAGATCACTACCGACCTGCTCGAGGAGCACCTCCTTGCAGCTGAGACTAGTGCAGTTGCTGTAGGTGCTACTTGTGGCACTCCTCGCAGGCCCTTCTTTGAGTGGTGCTCCCCCTCCCCCCTTGCCCCCTCTGTTGCTTCTGCTGCTGCTGTCGACTTCCTTGGTGCTGAGGAGGTCGGTGCTGCTTCTGCTCCTAGTGGGAAGCGCCGCAGCGGCAAGGGCAAGGGAGGCAAGAGTGGTGGGGGTGGCGGCGGGGGGGGTGGTGGTGGAGGCGGTGGAGGGGTGGAGGTGGCGGCGGTGGCGGTGGGAGTGGTGGCGGGAGTGGTGGAGTCGGTGGCGGCGGTGGCGGCGGTGCTGGAGGTGGTGGTGGTGGTCGCGGCGGCAGTGGGAGTGGTGGCGGCGGTAGTGGCGGCCGAGGGGGTGGTGGCGGCGGCGGTGGTGGTGATCGGGCTGGAGCCGGTCACCGGCAGCAGCAGCAGCGTCAGGGTGAGACCCTCACGCCCCATCAGCTTCAGTAGTGGTACGCTCAGCGTCTGGCATCTAGGGGTAGTGCTCGCTGCCCGTATATCATTCGCACAGGGGACCGCGCTGGTCAGACGTGTGGGAAGTTTCACACCCAGCATCGATGTTTCTCTCGCCTAGACGACGCTTGGCGCGCTGAGTATGGTGATGAGGCTGAGATGCCCCACTGGGCAGAGCTGATTAAGATTGTTGTTGATATCTTTGCTATTGACTATGATGCTATTCTTGCTGCCATGTATGTTATGACTGTTAGTGCTGAGGGTGACTGTTACTTGTGTGTGCCGCCTGACCCAGGTATAGAGGCTGCTGCTCTAGGTGCTAGTGAGTCTGCTCTCTCTGGTACTGCGCCTGCTGAGGCCTTGCACACTTTCACGCTTGACTCAGGTGCTTCTCGCTGTTTCTTTCGAGACAGTACCACCGTCACACCACTCTCTAGACCCGTTGCAGTTTCCCTGGCTGACCCCTCTGGGGGCCCGGTTCTTGCACGTTCCTCCACTGTTCTCCCGTGTCCGGCGGTTCCGTCTGGCTCACTGTCAGGTCTCCACCTCCCCTCATTCTCGACGAACTTGGTGAGCACCGCAGTCCTCCAGGATGCGGGGGTTTATACCTTTACCCCTGGAGGGCAGCGTGTGGCGATCTGTACGTGCTCCTAAACTGGTCGTCACCCGTCGGCCTAGGTCAAGTCTGTACACACTGACTATTGCGCCGCCTCAGGTCGCTGCGTCTGCTCAGGTGTCCGCGTCAGGTCAGGTAGCAGCCCCCTGCGAGTGTCGCCTCATGTCGCACCAGACTCTCCTTTGGCACCACCGCCTTGGTCACCCCTCCCTACCACGCCTCCGTGGCATGCACTCACCAGAAGAACTGCTCAACGAGCACACACCTCGCCGTGAGTCGCTGGAACCAAATCCGACGTACGCCGCCATCCCTCAGAATGAACCGACCGGCTAAGACACATGGTACTTGGAGAGCTGCTGCGGACAACACATGTGCTCTTCAGATCGTTTTGTTCAACATGAACAACGCCTCAACCGGGAAGTCGTGATAACCTTCGCCAACAATCAAAACCTGCGCACACGACGACAAGGCGTAGTTCAACTTCAGTCACTCGAGACTAACGTCGTCTTACAGATGTCAAAAGTTCTGATTGCAGGAGGACTTTGCTACAACTTACTCAGCGTAAGCCAGCTTATGGCGAAGGGAATCCACCTCGAAGCCAACAGCCCCACCCAAGAGTTCAGGCTGTACCACGGGAAGGGCGGACTCTACATCGAGAAGGCAGTCCTGAAGAACAATGTCTTCGTCCTCGACTTTGTCCCGGATCGAGGCACTGCCGACAGCGACGGGATCGTCAACTTCACCACCTGGACGCACCCGCCGGATCTCGACCCCGACTTTAGTCCTGGAGGCTTCTAGTACTCGCACACCATACCTGAAGCAGAACGGTCAAGGGCGTTAGCAGTAATACAACAGACAACAGCAACAACATCCGCAGAAGCAGAAGCAACAACAACAGCAGGAACAACACCAGCAGGGGCAACATCACAAGCATCAAACCTCCCTGTCGCCGGTCCTTCAACAGCACCACCTCCCTTCGACGAGCCCACACCGACTCCCGCCTGGCAGCTGACTCCCGTTCCACGCACCATCCACCGAAGTGCCAACATCACCTCCAGCTTCTACTCCAACTCCGACCTGTACAAGAGATCTCCTGGACATCGCGCTAACGAATCACTGTGGCACGAGAGGTTAGGACATCCCAGCAACACGACACTGAAAAACACGATAAGAGCAGGAGTTCTTGACAAGGACTCACTACTCTTACCAGACGGCAGAGAACTACAACGAGTAGAATTCCGATGAGTTGATGTTGAGAGTAGGCACATGGCCTAGAGCAGTGCAGAAACGCTGAAGATATCAGTAGTGTTGGCCTATGAGGCAATGTAAACAAGACAGAGGTGACCACGCTGCTGTAGCTCCCGAGCAAGAAAGTAAGGAAGAGCAATGTCCTTCGTTCTGTGCTCCAGCTGTGCTCCCGACACAACGCAATCATGGCCTTGTTGTCGACGTACAGAACTGGAAGAGAACAAGGCCGCTCACCTAAGTCTGTCAGCAAGTAGGTCAGCCAGCGTAACTCCTGTGCAGCCATGGCCCCCGCGTAAATCTCACCCTCACAACTAGAGCGAAGAAAAGAAGACGAGCGGGTGGACCTCTAGAAGACTGAAAGTGTAACCCTGTCACGACCGCTGGGCCTCTTGGTCGTCTGCCCAAGAAGCGTCTGAGTGCCCTGTGAGCACAACTGGACCCCGTCCTCCAAGCACAAGGCCCATGGCTGATGTACTGCACAAGTAACGCAGTACCCTCTGCGCAGCTGTCCGATGCTCCTTCCGGTGTCTTCAGGGAGAAACGAAGCGAGCTAAGATGCTGAGAGGGTACGCGAGGTCAGGCCGAATACAAATCATCAGGTACATGAGGGAATCCGCAAGCTCTGGATACGGACCACTCGGCTCTACGGACTCGTCTGAAGGTGGAGCTGAGAGCGAGTGGCTCGTAGGCAGAGGAGTGGCCTGTGGTAAGGAGAACTGAAAGCGGAAGCACGCCAGGACTTGCTGCACCATGTGTGACTGAGTCAGGGTGATGGTGCGCCGTGCTCTGTCTCGGGTGATCCGCAAGCCAAGATAGCTGCGCAACTCACCCATATCAATGCAAGTGTGTCTCTTTTGCAGCTCCGCCTTCACAAAGGCCAGTGCCTCAGTGTCAGCAGTAGCAAAAACCAAGTCGTCGACGTACACGAGGATGTAGAACGTCGTCAGAGAAGGGTCGGTTCGCAGAAACAGTGACGGGTCAACAGTCGAAGGAGCAAACCCAAGAGCTGCAAAGTATAGTCCTCAATGTGTCGTGCCACTCCCAGGGCGCCTGGCAGAGATCGTAGACTTGCCGCCGGAGGCTTCACTGGGTACCCTCAGGAAACGACCCAGTGAAGCCAGGTGGGCGGCGCAGCCAGATCTCCTCGTGAAGGCTGCAGTGGACTAGTTAAGCAAGTGGAGCTCGTAGTCACGCTCGTAGTCATGCAGTAATACCCAAGAGTGGTCATCTTCAAGATGGGAGAGAAGGTATGGAAGAAGTCAACTCTCTGTCACTTACTGAAGCCCCGTGCAACGTAACGCGCCTTGAAGACAGGCGGAGAACCCGACGGCCGCTTCACCCTGAAGATCCACATGCCATCGACTATGTTTGCTCCGAGAGGGGGAACTGCATCGACGTAGGTGCCTGTGGACTTCCAGGATGCCATCTCTGCGTCAATGGCTGTCTGCCACTGAGAGGAGTACTGACCCATGATCGCCTGTGCGTAAGAGCTCGAGGTCGGGATGTTCAGTGAATCTGGGTCTCCCTCAGGGCAGAGCAGCATGGCAACGGGATGAGGTACAGCAGCCGCGAGGCACTCGAGCTCAAACTGCCTGTCTTCAAGGATGTCATTGCCAAGGGCAAGATCACCCCTGACAGACGGCAGACAGTCAGACTCCGACTCAATAACAAGACTCGCGAAGTTGTCGAGACGACAGGCAACAGCAAAGCCAACGAGCTCAGTGACTAGGGCAGACACACTAGCAGACTCAAAGGTAGGGTCAGTGACAAGTGTGGCCAGACAACGAGTAACAGCAGGACGAGCAGGACGAACAAGGTCAGGCTCAGGGTCAAGAACGTTAGGAAGTGAGGACATTGGAGGAGACGGCAGGCCAGGACGCTGTCCAACAGAGGAAGGACGAAGTGTCGTGATGTGCGTGCTGGGGACAGGCGGAGGTCGAACACGACGAGCACGACTGATAGTGTTAACAGGCGAGGCAGGACGAGACGCAGGCTCACACCTCTGTCAGAGAGTCTGTCTGCTCAGTGTAAGGAGAAGGAGCAGACAGAGGGGAGTCAAGCTGTAAGTGTGGCTGAGACTGGATTCTGACAGGAACGCGTTCTTCGCGTCGATTTGGCGCAGCGGCAGGTGCCTTCCAGCGGCAATGGCGAGCAGGATTCTGACGGAGGTGTGACGGCTGACCGGCGCAAACGTTTGATCGAAATCGATCGCGTGCCTCTGGTCGTAGCCTCGCACCACCCAGCGTGCCTTGAACCGCTCGATCATGCTGTTTGATGCGGTCTTCACACGGAAGACCCACTTCCCGGAAAGAACCCTTGCAGCGCGATCGACGAGCACCCAGGTGTCTCGGGATTAGAGCGCTTTAATTTCCGCATCCATCGCCTCGCGCCATTCCTTGTTATGTGGCCCAGTGAGAGCTTGGCACCGTTGAGGTCGCGGTGTGGAACCCGAGAAGCTGCAGCCCGGAGACGGTGCTGTCGTGGCGATGTTGCGGGACAACATCCTGCACGTCGTCGTCGTCACTCTCTGGTTCAGGTGGTGCTGGTGGCGCTGCGCCTCTGCCGCTTCCTCCTGTTCCGCCCATTCTTCCCCTAGAGGAATCATCGTTATCATCGTCGCTACTGTGGCGATCTCCTCTTGTGAACTCGCCTCTGATGTCCTGCTCGAGGATCGCTGTAGCGGCTTCGTCCTCAGGTGTTGCATAGCTGTGCCCGTCATTCGTGTAAACGCGATTTGCGTTCGTCTGCTCGTCATGGCGGAATTGCTCGAGGAAGAGGCGTTCATAGAAAATGACGTCACGCATGTGGGTGGTCTTCTGGCTGAGTAAGTCCAAGATGATCCACGCCTTATGCTCATGGCTAATAACGAGGTGGATTCTCCAGCGCGCGTGGCTCGTGAACTTCCCGATAGTTGACGTCGGCGGGCGGTATTGCGCCATACACCCCCACACGTGGAGCATAGAGGTGTCCCCTTTCGTCCCTGTCCACATCAGGTGCGGGGACAAATTGCCTATGATGGCGGTTGTTGATAGCAGGATGTGCACCCGCACGGCGTGGTGCATCGCGTAGGTCCAGTAGATCGGCGGGAGTTTGGACTGATTCGTGCGTTCAGCTACGCCTTGCTGCTGGTGCGCGTAAGGAAGGGAAATATGATGCTCAATCCCCCTTGCGCTAGGTAATGTTGCAGCTCCTTGCTCGTGAACTCCGCTGCGCCGTCCGAATGCCAGATTTTTAGTTTCTCCCCAAATTGCCGCTGCGCGTGCGCCAGCCAGAGGCGGAACACCTCGTGCGCTCTGCCGCGCTTCTACGTTCACGAC